AGAATTTCCAGGCGGCCGGGTTGGATTGAGGTTCCCGTGGATTCCCCGATCTTGCTTCGCTTCCGAGGATGAAATTTGTTCGAGAGGTGTACGATGAGGCCAAGAAGTGATAAAGCAACGACAGCGTCATGATTGGGACGAGGCGGGAGGAGAGATCCCAGTCTCTAGCTAGCTCGCCAGCTGCTCGGGAGCGATATTCGGCCTTGGACTCTCAATAGGTCCTCCATCAAGGAGGACCAACATCTTGTCATGCTGACACGAGATACTCGGAGAATATGCGAACGCTTCCTCCAGCGCTCGCCTCGTTCCACGAGTCCATTTTCTTCCGCCGAGCGGAGCAATTTCGAGAAAGTTCTCGTCCTGGCGAATCGTTCCATAGCTGCGGATCGATTCCGTCATCCAAAGATTGAACGATTCACTTTCCTCATGCATCCTGATAAGGGCTCGGTTTCCGCATAGCGTGGGGGACACTAGCTCCTTGCCAGAATACGGAGTCTCCCATCTCCTGGGGCTGTCCAGTGAAATCAGACTCTCGGAACTCGGAACCAATCATTGCTCTGTCCTAGCGTCGCCACCTTGGGGAGGCATTTGTCTAGAGTTTTCCGATTCATCCACTGCAGGCATTTTGCGAAATCAAGGGGTTCTCGTTCTTACGGTACGCCGTATTCCTCATTGTTCACGCTCTCTGCTGCAGTGTTCCGAGTACAGAATCCAGGTCAATTATTCGTTAACGACGCGACACACTCTACGGACATGATGGGAGTCTTTTTCCTCACCGTTCCGATCCTGATTATTCCCGTAGAGTGAACTCGCTAGTGCTAGCGGCGCGGTTTTTCACTTTTTGTGGAATGTTCGAAAATCGAGCTCTGACGGAGTAACAGTGCTCAGAATTACTGCAAATGGAAAAACGCAGGCGTCTCGAAGGAGGGGCAGAGACTTCATTTGGGCTGCAACTTCGATCGACACCCCGCGGAGAGTTCGTTCAAGAACTCCAGGAAAGAAACAAACAAACAAACAAGCACGATCTACCATCAGAGTAGAGACGGAGTCCCGATTAAGTTTCTGCGAGACCTTACAATAATTTGTCTTAGAGCTAGAGAGAGGTCTGGCATAAGGGGAGTGATCGGAGTAAACACTTTCGCAGTGCGAGCTTTTCCTGCGAGATGCTCGCGAAAAAGCCCGGAACCCACGGGAACGATGTGAGTCCTGGAACCGGAAGGATTCCTCGACGCTGGGGCTGCTCGGAGTGACTGCCTACCGACTGGGGCAGGCCGGGTGGCGGGCCAACAGACGGAGCAGCAGCTGACTGCCAGAAACGCGGATCGATAGGTACCGTCGGGCTTTCTACATTGTGTATTGCATATTTCCGGTCGGATTTGCATACGAATAGAGGACAAGGGCAAGCAGAGGGAGGGGTGGCCGGCGCTACAACGAACAAGAACGCCGCGGGCTTCATCTCCACGTCTCGGAATAGCCGAGGGTGACGGCTTGCCGTGAAGAAAAGAGAGAAATAAAGCAATCGACTAAAGAAAAGAACCGGCCCACGACGACGAAGAGAGCCGCGGAGCGCGGCAAGAATCGAGCTCCCGGGAAAGGAGTAGCAACGACCGCGCAGCCTCTTCTTGCCCGGGTCGAACTCCTACATTTCTGTTTCACTGATAACGACAGGGCAACACGTTGTGCGCCGCGGAGAGACCAGCCGCCTTCCGTGGTCAGCCGTTCGGAATGAATTCCAGACAGAACAACGGCGGGACCGTTTTCGTGATGTAACAAGTTCCGCTCACCGCAAGGGAACAGAGAGTTTCGCAGAGCGGAGTCCTCGTTCAGAGCCACCGACGTTCGCTCTGCGTGGTAGAGGACCTGCGGCTCTATAAATAAACATGGACAGCGGTCGTGGCCGACGACGACGCCGCCGCAGCAGCTGCAATTTTATTGATTCCTTTCTTCGTTCCCCATTCGGTGTATTTTTTCGCCTCCATCGCGCTACGTTTGATGGCTCTAATTCTAAGCGTGCGCTAGGACGCTCGCTGAAGGGAATTGGACTTCTTCCCTCGCCAATAAAAGGTGAAGAAGTCGACCGGAGAAACTAGAGACCGTAAGGCGAGCCCAATGCTTTTCAGGCTTAACGGGAGAAGATTGAGTTCTTGTAGGGAAGAAGCAGAGGAAACCACCGCCCCTGAACAAAAGGAGCCGATATTATCAGGTCGCACGTCAAAGGAGTCTGCTTCAGCTCCTGTTCGTCGTCATCTGCTCCGTCTCGTTTCCCCGGGCGAATTATCTCACTCTCAGAGTTCGGAGAGATTATAATTCGGGACTCGAGCTCTCTGAGGTCCGAGCGCAGGGAGCTGCGGGGCTCGTTCGAGTTGTTCCGCAACTCGTGGACATCGCTGCGGAGAGCTCCATCATTTTGGAAAAAATTGTCTTCCTCGGCCTATTTGTGAAATAGTGCCCCCGGACCCATATCGTATTCAACTGTCCGAAACGGGCTCTCCGCAAGCGTCCGATGTTAGTATGATTCACGTGTCGAGCCCGCAGCCAGAGCGTTTTTCAGTAAGCGAACAGTGTTCGGCGAACTCGGTTGCGAACTCAATCTTCGTACACGCACGTTGAGTCTCTCATTATCGTGAATATTTTGCACACGCGAGGTAGCATCATTAGCTTGACGAAGGGTTTGTTTGGCGATCTCGGTTCCGCAGATCGTAAACCTCGACAGGGCTAGCTCACTTGGTGGCGCTTGTTTCACTCTTATCTCCGAATTGATGGACGTGAAGAGATGCTTATCTTGTAGAAGAAATGATTAATCGATGGTACAACATCGCACTGATAACCTAATGATATTCGAATGGGGAAACGACTTGTCGGGAGCGCTTACCCGTGAGCCGGAGTTGAACTCATTGGCTCGAGTGTACGATCCGAATCTTTGTCGGAAGCCGGCTCGTCGATATGTTCCGACGGAATTCCGGAATTCCGCCGAGCTGTGCATGGTCGAGAAGCTGGGAGCATTGTCTGAGCGTTTTCGTCTGGTCGGAACCAGTGGGTTGCGTTTTTCGCTCATGTGATCCATCAGGTCCACTCGTTGTCTGGGACACTGAAGACTTTCCGGAGCGTTTTGTTGCTTGTTCCGTTGACTGTCACGCTGTTCGGCCGACTGTTTGTCAGAACGCTCGGCGGAGCGGCTTATTCGTCGACGGCTCTCGTCGGCGAGTAAGATTCACTTTGCCTATCTGTTGCTCAGGCAGTCGGTGCCGCTCGGTCGCTTACTACAATTCATTACAACGAGCGGCCACCTGAAGCGCACTCACGCAAAATGCAACAAGCAGAAATAAATACAATAAACAATTGTGACGGTGAATTCGGGAGATTTTTTTTCCCTGAATATTATGCAGGGAAATCTCCGGTGAGTGAGGAGACATTCCTGCGCGGACGGCACGGCGGCCCGAGTCTGCTGTTCCCCGTTCCAATATTCTGCGTTCTGATGAATCATTCGCTCACCTTCCGCGGTTTTCCGCAGCGGTCTAATGGTCGTGTCCTGAGTTCCTGACGAAAAAGCAAAACAAAAGAATCCGTGCCGTGGTGCATTCCCCGCATTTATCAGAACCTGATGAATGAGCAGAATCGTTTGTCTTGAACACGGTTTCATAGCTCCAATCTCCGATCTGCTGTTTTTTCGTTGCGATTTCCGATTCCATCTCGATCCCGCTTACCCGTCGGGCCGGGTCGGAATGTTGCGGGCCGTATTTGTCGTTTCCGCGGCTAGATCCCATCGTGGTATTTTCGCTTTCTTTCACCGGCGGCGACCCGATGTTTTCTGCTCTGATTAGTTAACAACACTAAAACGAGAAACAAGCGACCACAGCGGCGGCGGCGTCTGATATGCCGGTCGCCCACTGTTCCTTCTGTGACTTACGCTCCGTGTAGGAGGCATGCTCCGGCATGAACTGATTTACCGGACAAGCAGTCGGTGGACCAGCTCGTCAGACGACCGTCCGGGCAGCCGTCATTGTTGTTGATGTTGTTTGAAAAGGCTTGCTCTTCTGTGACAGTGCATCGTGCCAGCGGCCCCGTCGGCGCCGTTGACTAGAATTGGGACATTGTCCCCATCCTCTGAATTGTTCGCCGTAATTAAGCGCGATTAAGTGGATTGCTGCTCACCCATCGGGTATTCACTCGCGAGCTCCCTTGCTCTAGTCCCTTGCTCGGAGACGAGTAGCTCATTCAGCCGGCTTCTGCTTAATTCCCATGTTCACCTTTTCCCGAACCGGGAGTCTTCTCCGTCGCTGAAATAGCTCGAGATCATTCGGTTCTCGGTAGTCAACACTGAGTCGAGAGTCCGGAGGGTAATTCGACCGAGCAATCGACCCCCGCGGATCCCTCTTCGGATCGAATTCTCGGACTCGGTCGGACGCAGTGAGACCGTATTGATGACATTTCCTGCAACTCTATGTAGAACAATGATACGTCGTCGCTCCTGAGCATCGATCTATGCCCATGGCTCGGCTCCTCGACAGTCCATACTTTTGAAGGAGCATCGAAGAAAGTAAATTTCAGGAAGATTTGTCTCGATGGGGTAGAGAGGAGAAGGTGGAAATAAACTTCAGTTTGAGGCGTTGCGGGGCCCGAGTCCGACCACACTCGCCCTGTGAGATTCCTTCCTCTTTTTCCGGCAGCTGAAATCGTGGAAGGAACAGACGGCAAGAAGTAGCTCCTGAAACTGCCGAGCTTCCCCGCTCCGAGTTCGTTTCTGCGCTCGCCGAGTTCGGTTTTCCACCATAACCTTCTCCTGGCTGTTAGCCCATCAAATCGCTGTGTGCTCTCCCTCCGTTCTCGCCGACGCTCGGGGGCAGTCCTTGCGACGGGAGTCGTCACGGACTTCGACTGATATTTTTCAACTTCCAACTAAACTGTGATTTCCTTTCCAGGGTCGCGCGACTGACGACTTCAAGCTCTCCAGCCCGGAGGGACGCGGCAGCTAGAATGGGAGACCACTGATACCGGAGAAAATGGCCGAGAATCATATGTGAGTACTGAGTTCACGAGATGAGAACGTCTCTCGAGAGAAAACGACACCGGAGTCGAAAGAGAACACGGAGAATGAGAGTTGAGAGCACGGCTTCGCGACATTGCTGTAGCCTGGCGCGATTCGCACCGAATTCGCCACAGGTCAACAGCGCGCGGTAGCGAAAATCTGCTCTAGATCATGTTCGATTGCTAAGCTCTCGGAGAGCGATTTCCTTAAACGGCTCAACACCTGCCGTTGGTCGACGACGACGGCAAGGGCAGAACCGTGACAGCAGATGGCGATCCCTTCCAGCACCTGCTATGGCTGGGTCTCAGAAGTATCTGGGAGCGAATTCCCCGATTTGGGACAATCGTCCGTGTTCGGATCTGGACAACTTAATCGAACTCCTCTCGAACCTCTCTCTCCATCTCGTTCTTTTCCTCGTCGTAGCTCTCCGTTTGTTTCTCATAAGTGGCAGATCACACGTAGATAGTGACCACTGGAGGAAACAAGAGGGACGAATCAAAACTAACCAACATAATACTCTTTCCTCCTCTCCCTTCCTCACTCCTTGAACGCCTCCACCCTCGATGTTGTACTGTTGTCATCTTCCGCACTGATCGATGTTGTCCGTATGACGTCGTGTCCACAAACCCGCAAACGATTGATGTTGCTGCTGCTGCCGGCTTCATCTTGACCTCCATCCCTGTCGTCTCCTGAACATCTGGTTCCACCGTGGCTCCACCTGCGTCCACCTGCGACCGTCATTATGTTCATTCGCTCGTGCATTCGTTCGCATTTTCCACTTCGTTCTCTCATCTCCGGGAACTCCGGTGTGATCCGTCGGTCTGGCTTGATACTCCTGATAATCTGACGCGGCGAATTTCGCTTTGACCTCTCTCTATGCCGTGGATGACACCGTGAACCCCGCTTCGATTCTTTGCTCTGTTCGTTGTTTTTTTCCCGCATCCGTTGACATTGCCTCCGTGACAGAGCGGTGACAGTCACCCATGAGGTGAAAGAAGAACAAAAATCTGTCACGAGTCAGGTGGTCCAACAAGTGCACAGGTAATCACAACATCACCGTACCGTTTCCATATTCGAATTGTTTGTGTTCCCTTCGTTGTTTTGCGTTCAGCGCGTGTCGATTCTGAAGCTTTCGCGCTTCGCACTTCAATTCGCACTAAGCTGCTTCGTCTGCATTCCGGGAAGTTCGCATGAGAACGAGTCGAGGCTCGCTTCAAGCGATTCCGTAGTGCGTGTCACTAGGCTTTCGCAAGCGAGTCTGTGTCGACTTCGGCGGCGGAATTTTATGCCTGTCTACCCGAGTGGCGTGTGGCGTGCATGTCTTCCTATGCATTCGAATGTTCATAACCTATATTTATATCGTCAGTCACCGTCAGCGTGTCGCTCACTCACCCACTCAGTCAGTGCGTGGTTTGCGCTCATGATACGAATGTACATATGTATGTGTGACTGTTGCCTCGGCATAAGAGTGCGCTCGCCGGTGGGGTCCGAGTAGCAGAAGGAGGGAGCCGTTCATTTTTTCCACACGCTCAGTGCTGTTAATTTCGCTCTCACCGGCTTACGGCATTAAGTTCCTAGGGCGCGTGTGACCGGTCTCTGTTGTTGTTCGCTTCAAGCAAGCAAGTGGGGGGATGTTAAACGCGGGAACTGAGGGCGGCGGCGGCGGAGACGAAACCGCAAAACTCCAACGAGTGCGCGAGCACCACTGACGGGAAACTCGGCCGGGAAAGAAGAGACTACTCGTAATTGCTCGAGTCATCCGCGCAGTCGGTGAACGAGCCGGGCGTCGACGTTTATGACCGGCGTTTGCGGTCGAGACGCGACCGAAAGACGTGAGCAGCTGTAAATCTGAATAAATAGCCCCCCGAGACCGTACATTCAGAGACCAGTCCCCCTCCGCCCGTATGTTAGCGAACTTTCAGTCATCTCAACGAAATTCATGGAGAATTCTATTCCGATGGGGTCGATCAGCGGACTCGACCTATGATAATCTCGACGGATATGGCGACCAGGCGGTACCTTTTCTTTTTGGGAACGAATCTCGCGAGGTAGGAAGGAGCTCGGCTTGGCCTCCGGCGCATGTGTGAACTCGAAATGCTCACGTCATTCTCCGAAATCGACATTTTCGCATCCCGTGGGCAACGCATCTCAGAACAGGACTCCGAATTTCCATATTCCCTCGCGGAATCGATATTCCTTCGATTCTTGAAGGACCGTCGCGTCGGTGAATCTCGCGGAGCTGGCTTTGGAGAATTCCGCGAGCGTGATCGAGTTCCCTGAAATCGCTCATCGGAGATCATCGGAAGGCAACGCATGACGTCAGGAAAACACAGAACGAAACTTCCCCCGCGAAGCTCATCCTTCCCCTGCCTTGACGAACGTACGGAACGATGTCGGCCCTGCGATTGATTCGTCCGCACACGGTGCTGTGGGTGATGTTTTTCTGATGAACGCCAGTCCGTGTCGCTTCGATTGGCTTCTATGGCCGAACGATAAGATCGGTGAAACGATTGTTTGCGTTGGGTGAAGCTCTCTCCGATTGTTCTCATCCACGAAGCCATGATTAGGCGTTTTTGCTCCGATAAGCTTTCCGAATTGGATTCCACACTTGTTGTCCTTCCTGGATTGTCATTGTTTGCGGCTGTCTGCAGCCCACGCTATCGCTATCCCGCGATTCGCTCGGGGATTTAGAGGAGAGAAACCTGAGGGCCACATCCCATGCTGCCATCGTCCAGACCGTCGGCACGGACACGACCACCGAGCGTCCCGGCCCTCCGAGCGAGGCGAACATTACCGTCGGTGCTGCAAGCGGAACGAGCAGATTTCAATGTTTTCCACGCCACGCAATCCTGGACGGCAGATGTCGCGTCACATGTTACCCAGGAACAGATTGGAATGGATAGCATCGGGAGGCAACTGCCGTGAGAACCGCGCAACTGCCATTTATTATTGCCGTCCTGAGCCTGCGCCATTGAAGCAATCCCTCGCGACTTGGCTAATGCTCGCCGTTGGACACATGTCTACCGGAGGGGTGATGCCTTAATATTGAGGAGAAATAAGCAACACCGAACGTCTGGTCGAGGTCCGCGGATCCCATTCTCTCAAATGAATGGAGCGAGTTGGGACGAAGAGGATTTCCACCATCGACCCTCCCATTTCCCTCAACACCTTTCCGGTGTTGAGAATCGCTCAGAAGTTTTTCCCCTCTCTGAGATCATCAGGGTTCAAGCCCGTCCGCAGCTCCGAGTCGGCTCGGTCCGCCACCGGAGGAAATCGATCAATTCCGCTAATTAGACGTCTGTCGAGCATCGGAGACGTCAAATCGGATATCACGCGAGAGCTCGGGCTCTTCCTGCTGCCGTGCGTAAGGAGAGAGACCATTTTCCAAAGGAACAAATTTCCGAAAGAATATCAGAACCAGCCCGGAGTCGCAGGTGCGGTTCACGGGTCTGTGAGCCCGACCATTCCAGATTGTTCAAAGTTAGCCGATTCACTGCAGACTCCTCCGTCTGCAAGTACGCGGACTGTTCCAAGAGGAAATATGTTCCAAACGACGACCGGCACTCCGTAACGTCGCCGTAGAACGTGCTGAGCGTCCCGAGGAGCAGTCGCCGACGAATACGCGAGCGACGTTCCAACGGCCCTTTGACTCCACGACGCGACGGTCGTGTCTTCAGCTCAAAATAAGCTAGCGTACGTGTGCTCCTAAGCTGAATCTGCATGGGACCGCCGTCGACGACGACGCAATGAGGAACCAAATCACTCTCTGCTCGCGTAGATCTCAAGCTGCGATTGAGCGGCAAGTATCTGTTTCGAACAAACCGGAAGGACGACGGTCGAACGTTCGACCCAAGAAATGTCGTTTGATGCGGTTGTTCGAAGCTGCTCAAGTCCGTCAGTCAGTCAGTCCGTCAGTCGGCTTGCCCTCCTTAGGATCAGATAGGTAGCTGGATTCCGATGCGTGACCACGCCCGGCGGTCTGGTATGTGTAGCATGCGTGACTGGAAGCGAGCGTCGGTGCCTCATGTCAAGAATCCCGATATCGGTCTAGCGGCTGGGCAACGAACTTTTTCCGCCGGAAGAAATGTGACCGAGTCCCGAGTGTGCGTAGGCAGACTCCTACCCTCCACGCCTAGAGGAAGCGTCTGCATCGCAAAAGTGTTTTTTCGCCGAGTCTTCGCGTGCTCCCGATTATTCCGTCCACTTCGTGTGAGCTTTGGGAAGCTCGCTCGATTTTGTTTCGACGATGGAACGAATCGCTGTCTGCGAACTCGGTCAGAGGTCCCCGATGTTAAACGGAGGGATCCGGAGTCGAAACTGCGGAGCGGCTCCATTCCCAGAACGGATAGCTCGATGAGTTCGACAACTTCAGAAGCCTCCCTCATCGCGATTTGTCCCAGTACACGCTGCCCGCGGACGCAGCAATGAGCGCGAGGACGCCCAGATCAATGGACGGTCACTGGCTGGCTCGCTGCATTGTCAAACGCCCTGTGGGGGTTATCTGCATTGCAAACCAGCTCTCCTCCGCCCCCGGGACCAAGTCTTTCGATGGAAGGGAAACGAGGTAGACGGGACAGACGAAACGAACGATCGTCGCTACCCAAAGACCCCAAAGACATCATCTGGTCGTCGACGGAGTTCCGCGCCTGGTCGTTGCTAGCGCTGGAGCATCATCGGATCAAAAGTCCCCGTCCTCTTCCTTCCTGACTCCTGTTCGCTCGCTCATTCGCCAAAGTCTGGAGCAAGTCATGACGACGACCTTATTTCCCCGAAAAACTTCCAACTTTCGCTCTCGGATGAAGCAGCCAGGAGCTCCTGCGGGGCAACAGCAGAACAGGCAGCCATCGCTGGCCACCTGCAAACGAGTGCGGAGAGGAGCAACGACCGGTTACTTTTTCTGAGGGCGCTCGTCAGTCATCACCACGTGTTTGAAATCACGTTCTTCGGAGAGCGTCCGCACGTGCCGATGGACCTCTTCCGGGCGGGGAGACCGCTCCCAACGAATGCGTACTAATCGTTGCAATGAACGTCGGAGCGTGCATGTCATGCTCCGCGGAAAATTCAATCGCAACGCCTGACTAGGTCTGAAAGGAATCCGTAAATAGAGGGACGAACGAAGCGTCTGCCTCCAGAGGAAGTCGAGAGACTAAAGTTAGCGAGCTGATTGTAGAAAAACAGTCTCCTGATCTGACTACCCGGCAGGGGCCGTCGGAGGGGGTTCCGAAGCGTCGTCATCGCGCCGGGGCGATGTAGCGGATCGGCTCCGCTTAGACTCCGCCGAAGGAGAACAGAGGCATTTAGGGCAGACTAGACATTTCGAGAAGCGGCAAGCAGGGACGGGACCGAAGAGGTGGCTGCCAACTTCGATTCTTGGAGCGTGTGTTCGTTCTCAGCGAGGAATCGGAGCCGGAATTTGCCATCTGCAAATTGATAACACGCCCGAACGTCTTCTGAATGCGTCCCTAAGGACAATTTCAGGACGTGTCTGTAAGTTAGTAGATACAGTGTTCCAATAGTGTTCCAATGGGGATCTGCTCCCTCTCGTTCGGAGGTCACGCTGTTTCTGACAAAACTCGGGAGCTTCGAGGAGGAAGACCTCCTTTCGTGTTCGGGGTGAACTGTGTTCGTAAGGATTCCTGTGGAAATCAGAAATCCCTCAGAAGGAGGCTTGGTCCCCCTCATCGTGGGAACCTTGGCTGGAACCTTTTTGCGGAGGCGGCGCGACCATATCCCTTTCGAAAGCTCACGAGCGAATGTTCCGGAGTGGATCCTCTTACGATATTCTCCGCCGTGGGTCATACGGGCGATACGCCGGTCTCTTTCCTTATTATTTGCTGCTCGTGGTGCTTTCGTCGCGCCCATCTGTCAGCAGATGCTGAGGTTCCCAGTCGACATAAGAATAAGTAAGGTCGGCCTGGTACGCTCGGACACCCATGCCGGGAAGCAGTCCCTCTGTCCCGCTGCACCATGAAGCCAACTTTGACCGTTTTCCTGCTACGATTGCCCGCTCCTGACAACTCTCCCTTTCCGTCTGCTCGAGGGACTCTCAGTGGAAGGATAATGTTTTGAGATCGAGTGGTCGACCGGCACGAATACGTCGCTGAGTGTCATGCGTGCATCCGCTTGTCGCCTACGATGGACCGAGTTGGCTGGCGGTTTTTCAGCCTTTCACATTTTTGACGAGGTTTCCGAAGGAATTAGCACGCTGTCGGATCTAAGCCGTTGATCCGCCGCACGAGACAACGTCAGTATCGACAATACGGATCTGTTCGTGACGCGCATACGCGTCGGAGCGATGGGCTGTCCATCGTTTCTGCTCCATTGATCTTGTTTCACGACGAGTTTCTTTTCTACCCGAAGCCCAGAGCGGAGAATATTCTCTGTCTATTTTTCTCTCCAAAACCAGAACAAGCTCATCTGCTCGACTCCCATCCAAACTCGGCACTGATTCTCGCTTGTCAGCCGAAGATAGAAGCTGAGCCGTTACCGAAGCGCCGGGGAACGGGTTCGGTGGATGCTTGCATAGCCGATAAGACACTTAGCATTCCGGGCCAGTCCATGTCAATACAAACTTCTGCCCCGAACTCCAGTGGCCTACGGCGGAGTACCTGCAGCTCCTTACGAGCGAAGACCCTTTTTCCGCTTCAGCGAGTAAGACAAGGGATCCGTGAATTCCTATCCGATGCTGCAGCTGATGCCACGGGAGATTTTTTATGCATTGAATTCCGGGAGAATTCGACAAACACAGACGCGTACCTTTGCACTCGACATGGGATCGATCGATGGTCAGACCGCCCGCCCGCCCGTCCGTCCGTCTCGCGTCCGTCATGTAGTCAGCCTACCGATCTGTAAACGAAGAAAGGAGTTCTTGGACCCTTCGATTTTAGGTAGGAAGCGAGCGGACTGAGCAATAGGAGTTGGGTGGAGACTGGGCTGTGGACCGCTCCAAGTGGAGCAGCGAACGAGGCATCGCCGTAATCCCGTCACACAACAGAAAGCTCTGCAGCTCTCCGTGAGCTAGTGTGATGGCGGACGCGGGTTTGGCGGTGGATAGATGCTCGATGGACGGGTGGGCGTTAGCGTGGAAGCGGTATAGGGAGAAATATACGTCTCTTGCATCTATTGCTCATTAGTTCGGTGGTCCATATTCCGGCTCCCGCTCCGAGCGCTTCGGTATTCACTCTGACGCTGACTGAGTTTACGATCTCGTGCTCATGGCTATCGCGGATGCCTTCCTAAGGAGCCAGGAGCCGATTCGCGCGATATCAGTGACTCCAGTTAGAGGTGCCGATGCCCTGGGAGATCTCTCGCGGTGTATTGCGAAATCCTGTTCCTTTCTCCGAGCGGCCAATTTTTGCTTCTGTATCGTTCGAACTCCTCGAGCGACTTTGAGCCCTGGCTGGTGGCGTGGAAAAAACTCCAGACAGAAAACGAGCAATGTTTCTGCGAGACGCGATGCGTTCTATTTAGGGCTCGTGGAATCCAGAGGGATCTCAATCGATCAAGGGTAGTGCAGAAAAATTGGCAGACTCGACGGGAAAACCTAATGATGCCGAGCCCCACCAGAGTTGGGAATTGCTCGGCTCCAGGATGCTCGTGATTCCCGAATTCGGAGGGCAACTTTAGATTTCCGTGGAGCTTTCCGGGAGACTCCACCATGGATTTTCCTCACCTCTGAAGTCACTGAGAGGGAAATATTCTCTCTTCGCCAGTGAAGGGGCGACCCTAAAAATCCTTCGATCATTCATTCTCTGGCAGAATTCCGGCTGGGAGTCCGGTAATCTCTCCGGATCTAGCCGGATTCGTTTCTTGCCCTGATCTCTCCCTTGTCTCCGATCTGGAGTTGAACGGCGACAGTGGGGTCTCGGAGAAGATTCAGCGGGCTCTTTCCCCGCTGTCTTGGGAACCCAAGCTTCCAATGCTGCTGAAAATCAGGATGGAACCCGTACGCCCGATGTTGAGGCTTTGTCGACGCTCCGGCAGCTTTGAGTTTCTTCAGGGCGAGTTCGGATCGGACATTTTCCCCGTTAGGGATCCGAGAAACGAGTTTGCGACTTCCACACGCATTATCAGCCAAGACTTCCCTATGCCGACCGAAATTCGTCTCTGAGATGTGGCACCATGGGATATGAGATGAGTCATGATCACAGGTATCGATGAAAGAAAATACATGTTGGTTCCGTCGAAAGAGCCGAAATCGGCGATGGAACACGCCCAACAACGTCACGTTTGTATTTGTTGTATTTCCAATTCGGAGCCGTCCGCTTCGTCAAACATGTTTTGCTCGACACACCTTGGCCCCTGTCAAAGACATTTCAAGTATAAGTTCTTCGCCTCGGTCAGCTCTGGTTAGCTCCGAATACCGAGAGAGAAAATACTTCCATTCGGATCCCTGCTGAGTTGTGCCGGATGCCGTCAATCGGTTGGTGGGTCGCTTTGATCGGGTTTTCGCTTCGAGAGTTCGTCGAGTACACAATGGGGGAGTTCGAATATATCGGCAATACATGGATAGGGAAGATCTCTCCATCGACGCGGCAGCGAAAATTTCGAGTTTCGAGCGCACCACTCCAACAGGAAGTTCTAACCGGGAGGATTCGATGCGTCATTCGAACAGATGAGATATGTCCGAAAAGTTTTGGATAATTCCTCTCGAAGAAAAAAATTCCCCACTGAATTCCTCCCAGGCGGGTCGGGAGCGGTCGGTGGAGGCTCTCTTTCATGGATCAGGTTGTCCGGGCCAAGCACTTCTCTGATTCCGCCGTCCCCTCCACCGCGGTGGGACATATGAATAAAACTACCTACTCGGAAAGTCGGCGGACCTACCTGGCTCTTCGCTGGGCCTCTCCTCATATAGAATGACCAAGAGGCTCCTTTCGAACTGATGATTGCGTAGTGTGGTGAATTTAGATTGAATTTCGAAATTAACGGGAACTCCATGTCGATCATCCTCGCAAACTTTGCCCCCCTGTATGCTTGTCAACTTCAGAAGAAGATTGGACGTTTGAGGGGAGAACAGAATTACTCCTCTGTATGGCGGCCACCAGCACCGGAGCTAGCCTCCTGCTGCAACAGCTTCGGCTGTCATCGCTCTGAACTTTCTCGTTGGAGGTATCATTCGCGCACAGACGGGAGCGGCTTATCACAAATGATGGACTATACGAGCACGGAGTCCTTCGAACGGACGTCCGACGCGTAGCACATCGGCTCGACCAATGGCGCATATTTTACGTTCGTGGTCCCGGAACGATCTCGTTTTTTGCTTCTTTTCCGTTGATCTGCATGATCGCATGAGCTACCGGATTGTTCGGAAGCGTATGATGGAATATCACGATATTTGGCTCCTCGGTTTTTTCCGTTTGTTTTATCGTGAATCCGGAAAGAGATTGGCTTCGAACGACTTTAGAGTCTCGAGGCTCAAGACTCTAATATTTGGATGTTCCCCCGTAGGAAGTTCTACCCCGATCAAACGCAAGAATTTCAACGCTTCGTGTAAGTTTCAGCCCGACTAGCTAGGAACTCTATCGCTAGGAAGTTCGAAACAGCTCAGCATTGTCTTCTTGTCGATATTTCCCCTCTAGTGCTCCTCGAATCCGGTATGCGTTGCCATGCATTCCTCGTCTCATCACTCTAGCTGTAGCGTAGAAGGAGTTATATTGTGGCAACTCCCCAATGCTCGATCGCCAGTATGGACGTCCGTCTATACTCTTTACCCAGAAAAACCCTCGTCAGATAATCGGTTCGAAACTTACTTAGTGAAAGATGCATTTAAGCCGTTCGAGCGGCTTAGATTCATGTAATCAACATCGTTCTCCCGAGGTAAACGAAGAGAACTTTTCGGTGGCTTCGTCAAGTTGATTGAATGAGGTGGGAGTTGTGGAGGGAATATTGAAGCTTCGCTGGAGCAGTCAATTTGATGAGCTCGGCGTGGAAGAAGGCGTCGGACTCTCTTCCCAATTGAATGACTTAGCTCGCGAGTCACCGCAACCGAGCGGGTCGACTCTTGATGGCAAACTTGACACCTTTAAGCACAATTGAACTATGCGTTTAGACGACGATTCGCGAGACGCAGTTTGGGTTTAGAAGCGATCGTCCCTCGGTGTCGTATGGAAAAAAAGGGGAAAGAAAATCCAAGAACGAAAGTTGAGGAGCCGTTGCTTTGACTAATGGAATGGTCTCGTGGGATTTGTGAAGGAACGGACGTTCGAGCCTCAGTCGGTCGCTTATAGCTAGAACCACTATTTCTTTTTCTGAGTGAGTGAGTAGGCGGGCGGGTGGTCGGTCGGTCGACTCTCCGCTGGAACGCGCTGCTTCCCCGCGACGCTTTCACCGGTTATCGAGACGTGTCATCGTGTCTCCGCAGTTGAGATGATGACCGACGAAATTGCAATTAAGTTCGTGGACATGCCCATCGACAGTATAACGTTGGTACCGGCCACGGACGTAATAGTTTCGGTCTTTTCGGTCTCTCTCGGAGGTGTGTTCGCGAGATGTGGACCGTTGTCCATTTGTCATGACTTAGCCAGAGGCCAGGAAAGAGATCGGCTGCTTTCTTCCAACGCCTGTTTTTGCCATCATGGATTCTTTTACTCATGGGCCATAGCAACCGATGCGGCCGCAGATCTGGTAAGCGCCTTTCAGACCGCCTCGGCCGAAGGGCTCGATGCCTTTTAGGAAGGAGGTGCGATCCGGCGAGTGCTGACCGGGAGCCGAAGAAGCCTTCCACGTGAACGAAGTGTGAAATTTCCCTCCGTCGAATGTCACCCGCGGCCATAGGAGAAAGCAACCTTTGCAAAAGGCCGACCGCGAGGCGCCGGAAACTGAGCGTGAGGCTCGAACACATTCGGGGCGACGCTGAGAATCTCGAATCGGATTCCGAGGGAACGGCTGAAATACGAGCGAAGGACGTGCTGCTATTGTTCTGCTCTCCTCGATTATTTATGACTGTATCGAGTGGCGACGCAACATCACGCCATGCTCGCTGTCGAGCTCGCTTCATATACCAATGTTCGGGCGTATATCATTTGGCAGATGACGATGTTTATTCAGGTTGTTGTGCTTATTATGTTCGTGGCTAACGTAGGAATCAACACCATTAACGATGGGGCATCCGTCCGGTGTGTTCCACGACGCCGGTGCCGTCGTCCGCTGCATTCAGTCCTTGCTCGGAGCCAACTGGAGAGAATATTTTGAAGCCGAACGCTCTTATTAGCGGAAATCGTCTGATGAAAGATCGCGTGGAGAAACTTCCGATCCTCCTCCACCGTCTCCACGCCATGTTCGATGGAGACACGCCTCCCAGTGAGAGCGGAGCTCATCTCCGTGTCCTCTCACGCATTTCGATCCGTGGATGGATCCATCCTCGATACTGTCGATCTATCCGTCTGTCTGCCTACCGATTTCGGGTCAGAGCGTTTCTTCTCCCGGGCCCAATCAGCGGGAAGAGAGAATCGAGCAATCGAGTTGACAAAACGGCAGGACGGACGGGCAGACCGACGACCTACCGAACCCGACCCCCGTCGGACCTGTGCTTCTTAGGCTCGCTAGGACGCTCGTAGATCGCTAGTCTTCGATCGATCGGGATGCGTCGATGTGTTGACTTGCGCGTGCCCTACTTCAAAGAGTTCGTGCCTCACCCCGTGACATCATCCTCCAGGCAAGACGGACCGTCGCAGCCTCCTCAGGTCCAGCACAGCTACTCGTATGAGTCGTCTCAGGCCACGGCCTCTTCGAACGGTGGAGGTCAGCAGCTCGAAGAGAAACACTTGACTGCAGCTTCTCTTGTCGGTCACGAGAAACAACTTATCAGCCGGACTCAGCAAGAGATAAAAACTCAACAGGTATTCCCGCCTCAGGATCCTGTCTCGCCGTTCGGTTGTTCGCATTCTCTTGATTTCGCTCCGTTATTTTGGGGGAAGACCAGGAATTTCCGATTCTCCGATCGCATGTATCAGGAAACGTGGATTGAGTTTGTTGCGTTTGAACCTTTTCCTTTCCCCTCCGTCTCTCATCCGAAACGCTTCAAGCATGACCCAGGTCCCAGTCCTGATTTCCTCCTGCCAGGGACCGATCTCTGGCTTGTGATTTGACTCACTTACGTTGCTGCTGTCAGGGGATTTTCATTAGGACGTTACCCATGAGATCGTTCGTTCGGAAATACGGATTTTTCTCTTTCCAAAGGTGAAAACCGTCACCAAGTTGGTGAAGACGCGAGAGGTTCGTCACATTGGGCCCGATGGTCAAGCTGTAGATTTGGAGTTTGCGGCGGGAAATCCGACGGATTTCATTCAGTATCCGTCACAGTCTCATCCGGGCTTCATCGAGGGCGCTCCGGACGGAATGAGCTACTTCGAAGGACAGCCACCGTCTCCTGCCAACTATGACTACTACGGTCGGGCGCCACCTCCTCCAAGTTCCGCGAATTACCCTCCCGGGACGAATTTCCAGGTTCGAAAAGGAAATTCCTTCCTGAACGGCGGAGCGTATCTTCGAATATGATCGATCCATCCATCCATTCATCTATCGTTGCCGATTGGTTCTCTCTAAACGACGTCAATTTCTTTTCGGCTGTTCAGGAGTACGAGTACTATCCTTCCGTGGGCGGAAGATCGTCGCCCACATCGGTGATTTCTGAGTCTCCTCCTCATTCGCATTCCGCTGGAATGTTCTCCACCGCTAGTGGACAACCAACGTCGGGCTACGACGAGCTCGATTCCACTCTGCTTACCCCTCAGCAGAGGTACATAGATTTGACAGTAGAGGAAAGAAGAAGCGGAATATAGTCACACCCTCTTGATCCGATCCAGCCCGATCTAGCACAAGCATCGACTGAAGCCAGTGATGTCTCTTGGAAACTCAATGCATATGGTGACGGACAGAAGAGTTCCCACCGTACGGGTGAACTGCTGAGGTTCCAGCAACTGATGAACGAAATGTTCCTTACAGGGCCTTGTACTATCAGCAAGGTTATCCAGGCGGGTACCTTGACCAGCGCAATTCTTATGACCCCTATGGCCAAGCTCCTTTCGATGGCCAACCACCCCCACCTCCTGCAGCTCCCCAGGCGGGCGAAGGAGGAGTCAGATTCAGGGACCCCGATCTTCACGAAGTGATTGAGTTCCTCAATCATCCGAACAATGTCGTACGCTCGAACGCAGCGGCGTACCTCCAACATCTATGTTACATGGACGACAACATGAAACAGAAAACCCGTGCTCTGGGCGGCATTCCACCGCTCATCGAACTCCTCTCGCAACCCATAGGCGAAATTCAAAGAAACGCTTGTGGAGCTCTACGAAATCTCTCTTATGGGAGGCGAAACGACGAGAACAAACGGGCTATACGAAACGCCGGTGGTATTCCGGCACTCGTTCGATTACTGCAATCGACGCCAGATAACGAGATCCGAGAACTGGTTACGTGCGTGTTGTGGAACCTTTCATCGTGCGATGAACTCAAGAGACCGATAATCGATGATGCTCTCAAAGTGCTCGTTCAACACGTCATCATCCCACTCTCGGGCTGGGATAGAGCAACCATTGCGCATAATGGCGGAGATAAGCCAGCTCAAGAGATTTACTGGACGATCGTGTTCCGTAACGCGTCCGGGGTATTGCGTAATGTCAGTTCGGCAGGAGAGTATGCGCGACGCAAGCTCCGGGAATGCGAAGGACTTCCCGAAGCCCTTCTGCATCTCGTCCGAACCGCAGTTCGAAAAAACGACATGGATAATAAAAGCGTGGAAAACTGTGTTTGTATACTCAGAAATCTATCATACCGGTAAGGATACGGCGCTGGGCGCGAGAAATTTATTCAACGTCATTCGATACTGTTTCGTGGTGACTGACTCGAGCTCTAACCTCGCTTTCGATTCCCTCCCAATCTCAGGTGCCAAGAAGTTCAAGATCCTGAATACGATAAACAACCGCCTCCTCAGTTACAAGACGGGACTGCGACGACGGGTCGATCCGGAGCCTCGTCCGTTGCTTTCAAAGTCGGAGAGAGCTTGGGTTGTTTTGGAGCGAAGAAGAAAAAATCTCAACAGAGCAATTCCAGCGAACAGATAGCGGCTCATACGTCATCATCGAATCCGACAGGAATGGGACTTTTGTGGCAGCCGGACGTTGTTCAACCGTACCTTTCGTTGCTATCCGAGTGCTCGAACCCCGAAACACTGGAAGCAGCGGCCGGTGCTATTCAAAACCTGGCCGCTTGTTATTGGCAGCCTTCTATAGACATCCGAGCTGCGGTCCGCAAAGACCGTGGTTTGCCCGTCCTTGTCGAACTCCTCCGAATGGAAGTCGATCGCGTAGTTTGTGCTGTTGCGACAGCGCTCCGAAACTTGGCCATGGATCAAAGGAACAAAGAACTAATTGGTGCGTATCTCTCTGCTGACCTAATTAATTGAGGATCGAGATAATTATAATTTCTGCCTCTCTCTGTCAAGAAAAATATGATTGAATTGATTCCATCAGGATTCCTTCCATGAATATTTCATCAGTTGTTTTGTATACAAATACATGTGACACATGCATAGATAGGTCTTATAAGCATTCAATATACGGACCTATGATCATGCGATCATATATTATGTATGTATATCTCATAGTTTACATGATATCCTACTCGGAAAAAGTATTCATGACTCATCATCCAGATCAGATTCCCAAATCCAGCGAACAGTCTCGGCAGTCCCATGGTTACCTACAAGTGAATCCGATTCCTCGTTGCAGGCAAATACGCCATGAGCGATTTAGTGCAGAAGTTGCCGAACGGCAATCCCCAGCACGACATGGGAACTTCCGATGACACGGTGGCTGCGGTGCTGGCCACGTTGAACGAAGTGATTGTTAAGAACGCTGATTTTGCTAGATCGCTGCTGGAAGCCGGCGGAGTCACCAGGCTCACTCACATCACCAAGCAGAAACAGAGGTTTTCTCCACGCGTGGTGAAATTCTCCTCTCAGCTACTGTTCAACATGTGGCAACACGTCGAGTTGCGCGAAGCGTACAAAGGCGCAGGTTGGCGGGAGAGCCACTTTCTTACTAGGAACATCGGCGGCAATGGGGCTGCGGGGCCCTCCACTGGTTTGGGTGGGGCCAACTATAGCACACTGTCGAGGCCGATCAGTTCTCAGGGTGGCACCCGTTACGAGGATCGTACGCTTCCTCGTGGAGCCGGTCGTGAACTCAATCGCCAGCAGCAACAACAGCTTCAGCAGCAACAACATCACAATAATAACAATGCTGGAGGCCATCCGCAGCCACAGGGTGTGGGCTACCACCAGGGACAAGAGATGCCCCTGGCGGAAATGCACAACCTTTCCATCCAGGACGGTCATCGCCAGGCCCCGGTAGGCGGAGTTCAAATCTTCCCACCAGGACCGGTACGTATCAATTCCATCAAGGAGATTAATACCGGCTGAAGCCGAAGGGCACGTCGTGAATATTCTCTCGTGTCCCTGTGCTTGGCGACGAAATCGACGTTCGCCTCAAACGTAGAAACGTTGATATACGGAGGTGTATATGCCCGTTTCCCGACATGTATGTCGGGTGGTAGATAACTTTCAGGCGGAGAAAAAAGGCATCTCGAGCTAACCCCCGTTTCCTAACTCGCACGCTGCTCTGGATTTACCTTGACCGATGAAATCGGGGAACTCTGGACGTCAAAAATATTAACCTCCGGGGACCCACAGCCACCCGGCTTCTAACAGCTTCCCGACCTGGTCTTACACAACTAGGCTAACCCAGGAGTATTGGTCCAGCATCTATCTCAATGCTCAACTTTGATCGTCAACGCTATCCACTCCGGACATCTCACCCCCCTGAAACCAGGGAAATTCGCGAAACAAAATTAAGATTGAGCTGCCAGCTATTCTCTCCTATCTCTCTGATTCCGAAGAGAACCGCTCCACTCCTCCGCCGAGACAGACGCTCTTCTTTCCCAAGATGGAGGACCCACAAAAAATGTTTTCTGTGAAATCCGCAATCCTTGTGGTGGGTTCCGAAATACCCATCCCTTCCTTGAACTTTTCGTTCCTTTTCAACTTCGCGACCGTCGTCCCCGCCCCGCAACGTTTCTTTTTTGTCCATTTTGTGTCTCTCCTGAAGAGATTGATTCCCCCTCGGGGGAAATCTCCCCTTGCATCGTGCCCTGATAATTTTCTACAGAAAAGGTTTCAACCCTACCCTCCCATTGAGAGCTAGATGTGTAACTCACGAATATCTTTCAGCATCAACTCGCCGAAGTGCATTCTGGTCCGCTGCCGGGAGAGCCGGTTTACGCGCAAGTGAATCGCGAGAAGAAACTTAGACATCGACCCATGGGCGGCCACATGAGCCCCATGATGATGATGAACATGAGCCAAGGAACGTTGCCTCGAGATTCGCACCCGTCAACGAGTGAGAGCACTCATCAACTCATACCTCCTGGAACGCCAACTCCGAGTACCAACGGCTATCATCATCCGCAAGTGGTAACAGCGAGTAACGGAGAAGGCCCTGTTGCTGGTGATTCCTGGGTATGAGAAAGACGGGAGCTCTGACGAGCGAGCGTTTTTTTCTGCCCTAATCAGTCACGGACGGGAATCTATCGAGAATATCCGCGTCCAGCGACATCCATCGTTCCCAGATGAGAGTACGACCAGGGATGACCACCGTGTCGGGCACAACATTAATTTATTGCGAGCGTGGCAACGCTCATGGGGCAAGCGCTCCGACGCAGTCGACGGTTCGGAGTGCGGATTTCGAGTGCCACAGCAATCATCTCTTTGCGTATACGAGAGAACTGTCGCCTGTATCTCGAACAAATAGCTCTACGATAGTATTAGAAACGCTGTACATACGGTCGGAATAGATAGTGTGGAAGAGCGTCTGCGTGACTCGAGGGTCGATTGGTTAATTGATTCATTGGATGTCGACGGAGCGCATCCGAGTGGAAACTCCACCGACCGATACCGTAGACGTACCTTTGGTTGTTTGAATTATATTCACATTGATCGATTGATTGACTGATTGATTGACTGGATGAATGAATGATCGTATGCTGATCGAATAACTTGTGGAACAACGCCCTGGAGCTTGGGCGGGACAAATCATAGAGAGCGTGCCAGGGAGCGTGCATTCGGATGAATGCCGCCCCATCGTCATCTAGTTTCGAGATCGTTTCATCTTGCCTCCCGCCGCTTCCCAACGCCGAGGCTGCTGTTTCTGCAGCCAATTACGCAAACGTAATTGAAAAAAAACACGACCGAATATCGTAGGATGGTGCAATCACCACATCAATCGATTGATTCGTGGAATCTGCTTCCGACGAGAAGAGGTGGAGACAACTCGCGAGGAACGGAATACACAGGGAACGGTAGAAGAGGCAGCAATCAAAAGGCATCGTCAACAAATAGGAGCCGACCGTAGCCATAAACGAATCGATGATGTAATTGTCTGACGCGATCATGCGAAACTATGCGCGGTCAAGCGTGAGGGTGAGCTGTCCGATTGTGCTGGGCCATCCTTTAAGTTCTGCGGTTACCGTAATTTCTCCATGTACAGTGTATTATACTGTGGTAGTGTGAGGCCAGGTCCGGTGTCGTCGTTGTCGTCCCAAACATTTCCATTTTTCTTTCGGATGAGGAAAGTTGGAACAAAATCAAACAAAGAAAAGCGACTGAACTCAGTCAGAGTATGCGTGGTCTGAAACATCGTTTTCTCCTCTCGCGGAGCCCGTATTGCAACGGCTCCCAGCGAGTTTCCACGCCCGCGACGGGTGTTTGTATCTCCCGCCTTCCCCCATCAAGACCTGGGTTCAAACTCCAGAGACTAGTGAGAAGCTTTTTTTTGTGAAATCTTTATCAACTTTTTCCCCGGCCGTGGAAACACAAACCGACCAGGGAAAGTGCTTGACTCCCTGCTCAGAGACTCGATCGGGCTTGATGCCATGATGTGTTCCAATCAAATATTTCGAGCTCTTTCATTGGAAACACTGTACTAGCTGGGACCACTCGCGGCAGTTGGCAATCGCTCGATTGATGAGCTACGAAAAATCCTTGAGAGATCCGGCGGTAGGCTGAGCTGACGGCGGACCAGCCGAGTGGTATAGCCGAATCGGCTCTTCTCGAAAGCGAAGAAGGGGAAAACCCTCATTCTTCGAAGAAAACTTGAGCCTGGGATTACTGGCGGCAATCATCCGCAGGCTCCAGACCGAGATCGTCCTTGCTATAGGCTCGAGTCCGAATAGAATTTTTATTGATCCAGACGGACCCAGCTCTCTTCTCGATGTAATTTCTGAGAGTCGACAAACGAATCACTGTGCGGATGTAGTCAAGATCGGATGGAATCAATACGTGCGGAGGGAAAACTACGATGACGAACGAATGATCATTTCGATTCTGTCGCACCGATCGGAGCTACGGGCAGGACACTTACAGGCTTGAAGTTCGTCGATCTGTGAACTCCTGGTGACATCCTGTGCTCACATTCCCCGACTTCTGTATATAACGACCAGCGTGTTTAATCTGTCTATCAGCTTTTCCGTCTAGAGAGCGAACGTGGATTCCTGTGTAATAATAATTATTATTATTATTATCTACGATTGATGTTCGAAGCGGAGAGACGAATACCGAAATTGACGTAGGCGGAGTCAAAGTTATCGAGTACGAGTCAAAAAGACTGTATGACGACGAATGATTGCAAGGAAGTGAAAGTGTGTGTGTAAGGTCGTGAATGCATGTGAGTGAATTCTAACAGGGAGAAATCCACCATTCGCATATCCGATTGGCGCTAAAACTACAGACGAGAGTTTCAAACGACAAGGATCTATCGATTCATGGTTAGGCTGCAGATGCCGAACTACGAACACCGTCAAAACTCGTGTCGTCACAGCTCGAGTGGGAGTCGAAGTTGATTTCGATCTCGAAGTGTATAGGAAGGGAACAGACTCGCCGTGATTCTCCTCAGAAAGCTTTTGCAGCAATTCCTCCGCAAGGAGTCTCATTCCGCAATCCCCTGGCTGGAACGATCTCTCTTGTTCGACTTACAGTCTTTTACAATCATTGATAATGCGAAGTCTCTTTAGCTCTCTCGACCTGAGTCCCTTCCTGCCCGAAACCTCCCCAAGTACTCCATAATCGAATCTATCTGTGCCAACGTGCGATTTCCCTTCCTCCCGATCTATACATTGGCTCTGGAATAGTCGTACTTTGATAAAGAGCGTGGAAACTACTGTTTATTCGATTATACTAATTACACTAAATGACATCGATTTTCGAGAAATCATTAGCTCGCCATATTGCGAAGCTTGGCCTATTACGGATGATCAATGGAAAGATGACAGACGAGAACCACGGGAAAGATTGAGAAAGTAAGGAAGGGGCGCGAGTTGAAAAAATACTGAAAAACAAGTCTGCAGTCTGAATCATAGCTGTGGCGACAACAGTTATACCAGCAAAAACGAACTGAACCCCACCGGCGACGATTTCTATACGATCCTAAACGGAAAACGACCCTCATTATAAATGGAAGTATCACTAATAAATCAGTTATATGCTAATAAGCCCTCGGTCTTCTATAAAGTGAGCGAGGGGAGTCGGCGGTTGGACCTTCCTCTATTTCAAGAAGAAAGATCGGAGCACAGGCTCCGGGGATGGAGAGATCGGTAAGCCAGGCTCGGAATAGATAAGCGTCCTGAATTCTCGGAGAACAAGATAGATCTAGAATACGCCCTTCAGACGCATGGGGAGACGATTTATACAGGAAAAATATTTTTATTAGATTACGTTGTGGTTTCGCTGGCACCTCCGTCAGGTTCCTTTCATGAATGTACATCAATTTCTGTGAAGCGATATGAATACCGGGGGAGTCTTCTGGTTATCGCTCGTCGTCAGCCGAGCGTCAAACTGACGCTCTCGCCTCAGAGCCAGACGAAGGTGAATCGTTGTCAGCTTTCTCAGACTCCGAGTCCGAATCTTCGAATCCTTCGAGGTCACCCATCCATCCTTTGATCTTCTTCGGTGAGGCGGCGGCGCACGCCTCATCTGCTGCTCTTTTAGTTCCTGACGGGCCAGGTGAGGCCTGAGGAGAATTCCGAATTAGGCGGGACTCGAATGAAGCGTATCGGAATCGAGAGCGAGGTTCTTCTCCTCGACATAATCTCTTCTCACTTACCTCTGCGAAAGCTTGCTCGACGGCCTCTTCGACGCGGTCGGGGATCTCTACACGATCTTTTAGATATTGCTCATCATTGAACTCATGGTGAGGTTTGGAGGTGGCGAGGCTTTCCAGTTTCTTCCTCCTTTTCTGCTCTCGCTCAATCTCTCTCTGAGCTTTCAGCCTCGCGTAGTGTCGAGCTCTACGAGGAAGAATATGCATTGTTAGCGGAATGCAGGAAACTGACGATTTCGCAAGAGATTTGACAATTCTCGGTCCGAACATTGGTGAGTCGATTATGACGGTCCGGGTCGGGCTTACCTTCTCTCGTCGTTTATTGCTCGAAGTCGCCTTCCAGACAGATCACGACAAGCTTCACGATTCGTAGTTTTCTCTATTTGCGCACCAATGGCTCGGAGCATCGATCCGAAGCCACCTTTGCCACCTCGAAGGCGGCAGCATAGATCGAAGGTTTCGTTGCCTCGCACTTCATCGTCACAATGTTTGACGAAACCGTTTTGCAGGACGAAGTATTCCGAACCACCCTCAGGTGATGCTGAAACCGAGCTGAGCAAGTCCGAAACACAAGAGCCATGAGGTACCAATACCGACTTGAGCACGCCACTCGACGGCAACCTCACGAAGACTTCGCAGCAAGTTTCCATGGTTCACTCAACGGAGAATTATCCAATCCACACAGGTCTACCGAGAGTATTCCTAGACTGCGATTTCGTTTCTCGGCATTCGCAGATGTACGAGGAAGTAAACAAATATGGCCGTCGAATGGGAGAGGAGGGAGCCCTGAGCCGCGGTGTTCAAACTTCTGGGGGTAATCGGCGGAGCAATGATCCTCGGGGTGGACTCCTCGCTGGGGCCGACCTCGGACGGCAATGATTGTTGTTCCCGAGAATCGATGCCATGAGGAGCTATCGCTTAAGTCTGTCGCGGGTCGATTGACGAGCGTCTGCAATTTTGTTCAATACGTTCGCGGGGGAGCGAATTCGTCCGAAAACGCACTCTATTGAGGCTCGCAACAGAGCCCGCGAAAATACGAGGGCATCGTGATACTCTGATCGGGGGATTCCAAAGGCTGCCGAAAGATTCTCTCTACCAACCCATCTCCCCTGGGATTTTCTCTATCGTTAGATCATTGCTGCGGAGAATTATATTGAGTTCTGTCCTTAGAGGTAGGGAAGTAACGACGTGGCATCAACTGTCTGGACTACTGAATAACTTCTATAACGAAGTTATCAGCCTTATATTGAGTTCTGTCCTTAGAGGTAGGGAAGTAACGACGTGGCATCAACTGTCTGGACTACTGAATAACTTCTATAACGAAGTTATCAGCCTTTTTATTGGAAACGGAATCGATAGAGGGCGAGGAGGACCTAACATTCCTCCCTTTCTCCCGAGGGAGTGAGTCCTGCAAGTCGCCTGTAATCGACCGGGGGAAGTAGACGGGGAGACCTTCTTAAAACCGAGTCTGGGCTAGAGTCCGCCTATTTTCGCTGATTGTTGTTCATTGAAGTTCCTCATTGTCCACGCTCAGAGGTTCCGGTGCGCCCTGAGCCCTTTTCCAGACCTGGTTCCTGTGACGTACGTGCTCTTTCCCGTCCACCGAAACCAAAACCAAGGCGTCGCCCCTGAAACCGCTGATTTCACCTCGGACCCGGGAGCCATTGGCCAGCTCTATCGTGATTTCCTCTCCCAATGATAGAGAACGTGGAAGCGCGCCATGCTGGGTGTCGAAATACTCCTTCATACGTCGTTGGTAAGAGGTGGTAGAGAAATCCGAGACCGGCTCCTTGCGGAAGGAATCGAGAGGCGTTCGGAGCTTGCGTCCGAAAAACAGTTCGGCCGGTGTTAAGTCACCGATAGCGGAACACGGAGTATAATTGTAAGCGGCCACCGCTTCATCCAGAGACTTCGGATCAGAAGAAATCGCGTTCTTTAACGTTGCGACCATCCTCTCCGCCTGGCCGTTGCTTTGCGGATGTCGAGGAGCGATACGCAGGTGGGTGATTCCGAATTCCTCGCAGAATCTTGCGAACTCCACTGAAACGAATTGCGGCCCGTTGTCCGAAACAATCGTTTGTGGTGGGCCGAAATGTCGGAACACGACTCTCATGTAGGCAATCAGAGTCTGACTAGTGGCTTGAGTCATCCACGCCGCATCGAGATATTTGGAGAAGCTGTCAACGATGACCAGGAAAATTTTTCCTCTCTGAGGTTCGGCGTAATCCAAATGAATTCGAGTCCACGGACTTTTTGGATCGGGCCAGGGCTGCAGCGGTATCTTGCGCGGATTTGCGGCGTGTTGGATGCAGTGCCTGCAACTCTTCACCAACCCTTCGATATCTTTGCCCATTCCTGGCCAGTAGAAGTAAGCCCGTGCGAGCGCTTTCATGCGCCGGACACCTGGATGCGCGACGTGTAGTTTGTGGAGCACAGCTTTACGTAGGGGTTGCGGAACGATGAGGACCTAACAAATTATGCAGGAGAATCGGGGAGGCTGTGCGCGAGACGTTCCGATTAAGTGGTATTTTAGGTACATAGATGATCATCGGCACCGTAGCGAGCTTCTGTTTCAGCTGACGACTCCATGCAACCATTCCGATATCCCGCAGTATTCTCAAGAGTCTCCTGTGTTCTGACTGATCGCGGATCAAGAACTGTGGCCTCTCTCCGAGCTCGCACCGCGGTCGGGTCGTACCGCCAAGGTCCGCCATCTTGCTGGAGCTGAGCCACCATCCACCATCCGCTGCGGATGTTTAAACTTTAAATGGCCGTTGGCGGGTTCGCTGACTCGGTGTTCGAAATCGTTTTCCGAGGGGTCCATGATTGTTCGCATGACCTTTCGATTAGGTCGAGAGTGCGTTTTTACATTTCGATGCCAATTGAGAGAGGAGTTCTGAAGTGCTTGTGTTTCGGAGTTCTCCTCAAGAGAAATCGAGTTGCTTGTTATTCTGACTGACAGATCCTTGTGCGCGTAGCTTACCGGTTCGGGGCAAATGAATGTCTGAGAGTAGATCGTGATTTTATGCTGACGTGAAGTCTTCGTCGCGATGACTCTGACCATCACGCCGTGTCCAATAAAGGGGACTTGCGTCCTGGAGCGCCTACTCGCGAATGGGTCGGTTGCCTCGCGTCAACCTCTCCCAGAGGCTACGGCTTCGATATGCAGGAATTCGCAGAGAGACATCATGGTGAGCCCCCTTATACGTTGCACCCTAATCCATGGTAGCTAGCTTAAATCCCATTCTCAAGCGGAGCCCATGCTTAGGTCCGAATCGAGGCCCAGAAGTTGCCGAAAGCCCTCGTTCTTTGTGGGACCAGTGATAATCTCACCGTTCATAAGAAGTTCGTCAGTGAAGGGAAGATGACTCTCTCTTTCAAACAAGAATCTCTGCGATTCCTGTTCGCGAACTGCTCGGCAGCAAGGTTGGTTTATTTGCAGAGCCGGCACAGCTATCGAATATTGTTTCAGTTCCCTCAGGGAGGTTGGGCTTGTGATCAACGATCTCTTAACTCTCTCGAACTTTCCTCAACAGTCTGACAACATTCGTCAAGATGTTGTCGATCAAGAGCTCGGTCGTAACCCCGGATCGACCGAAGGCATCGCTTCGGGAGAAACTTCTATCGAGGAAACAAGATCTGGAAGATATATCACCTCTGGTCGTTTCGAAAGACGGGGCCCTGATAAGAAAGGTGAAGAACTCGTCCGGCGTCACACCGAATTCGAAGCGGAGAAAAACCGTCTCGGCCGACGATAAAGAAAACATACCAGTGGTACGTTCGACTTGGGCCACGGAGCCCATTCCGTAATTAGGTAATTGTTCTGTGGTTCTGATGCTCTGTTACCATCGCTGTAGATCCTCTCAACAGTCATTTCTTGTTCAGGGAACTCCAATACGTCGCATGCTCGCAGCACAGACGGTAGTGCTATCCAAGGAACAACGTGAGGTCCTCGATCTGGTCAAAGCCGGTGGTTCTCTTTTCTTCACTGGATCTGCTGGAACGGGGAAAACTTTTCTCTTGAAGCGAATAATCAACATGTTGCCCCCAGACTCCACCTTCGTCACTGCTAGCACAGGAATTGCTGCGACGCACATCGGAGGATCGACGCTACATTCGTTCGCCGGTGAGCTGCTCGCAGATCGGACCGGATGGACGGCAGGCTTCAGCCCGAGTAGAGGAAACTCCCATGATGACTTACAATAATCTTCTCTTCCAGGAATCGGCGTCGGGGATTCGCCAGTCGGAACTCTAGTCGAAAAACTTCAGAAGCGTCCGGCTTTCTCGAATTGGAGAAAATGTAGGCATCTCATCATAGATGAGATTTCCTTGCTGGATGGCGACTACTTCGATAAACTGGAGGCGATCGCGCGCGCCGTGAAGAATAACGAGAAACCCTTCGGGGGGATACAATTGATCATCTCGGGAGATTTCTTGCAACTTCCCCCTGTTAATAAAACGGGGAAACGTAAATTCGTCTTCCAAGCCTCGTGTTGGGACGAGGTCATCAATAGAATCTACGAGCTCAAAGAAGTGCATCGGCAGAAAGACAAAGAATTTGTCTCGATTCTTCGGGAGATTCGGCTCGGAATGTGAGTCATCATGCACGTATCAAGGAAGGTCTCTATACAGGGAAACTTCCACGATCCCGTGGGAGCATCGAGAGCATGCTATTCTATTCTGTTTCATGCATTCCGGAAGGATCCGGATCGATGTCGGATGGTGTTTGCCAATAATCGTTTTCCCTCACAGATGCTCGGAGTATTGCGCGAAGGTTCTCTCGGATAGCGTCAAGAATCGTGTGGACGCAGATGGGATCTTGGCAACGAAGCTTTCGACGCACAACATAGATGTCGATGCTATAAACGAAGAATTCTTCCGTAGACTCCCCGGCGCCAGCAAAACCTACAGAGCAGTGGATTCGCCCGAGTCCATGAAGACTTTCCTAGATAGTTGTGTTCCCGTGAGCAGTTCCCTCAAACTCAAGGTCGGCACCCAAGTCATGCTTGTGAAAAACACCAAAGTCTCCGAAGGTTTAGCGAATGGTAGCCGAGGAGTCGTCGTAGGTTTCGATAGGAATCAATTGCCCTTGGTGAAGTTCAAGAAGGGCATAACCACATCGGTGGAGCCTGTCAAATGGATAGTCAAAGGTGGTGCTGGCTCGTCGATAACGAGAGAACAGATCCCCTTGAAGCTCGCCTGGGCGATAAGCATTCACAAGAGTCAAGGTCTCACTTTGGACGCTGTTGAAGTGAGTCTGGGCAAGGTTTTCGAATGCGGACAAGCATACGTCGCGCTCTCTCGCGCCTCGAGCCTTCAAGGACTCAGAGTACTCGACTTCAAGTCATCAACCGTGCGGGCAGACCCGCAGGTCTTGGAATTTTACAAAAGAATTCGCAGACAAGATTGTGGTTTCCTCTAGCATTCGAATGTACACAATAATCGACCGTGTGTTGTCCAGGGTAAAGACTTCAAATCATTTGATGGGATGATCCTCGAGGAAATGACGGATGGAAATCTCAAGTCATTTGCGAGATTTCTCGCTCCGGGCGAGCCGAATACACAAGAGAGTATAGAAGAGCTTGTTTATTGTAAATCACAGAGTCTTCGATAATCGTATGATCGTAATAAGTTCCACGATTCCGGCGATTTTGTGCATTAGAACAGTGTATTCCGCATGGAAAGGAGTTACCACCCTTCGTTAATATACAGCAAGGCTCATTCCAATGACGGGTAGCGATCAGTTTCTCTCGCGAGAAAACTGACGGAACGAAGCGACCCTTCAGATCCTTGGCGTTACGTGACCACAGAGAGATTTCGAAATTCAAGTTATATACAGATGTGCGGCGGAGAACCGTGAACCATCAATCATTGCCTGAACTTTACGCCTTTACGGCAATGACATCATAACATTCGCGGATATTCCACCCCGGAACGACCCACGGGTCGCATTGTTGGTGGGGGAATTTGCAGCTCGTTGGGTTCTCTCCATCGAAAATTCACACTTGGCAGAATACCGATGCTGCTTGCAGCAAGATCTGGTCGCAACAAAGGGTACACCTCATCTCTGCCCGAGTGAATCACCTACGGCTGCTCTTCCGACCACCCTCGGTTAACCTCATCCTCCCCTAGCGGAGCTCTTTTTCGCTGGTCGCCAAGAGCAGGACCCACCGTCCCCCATCAGGGGGTTGTATTCCCTTCTGAAGGATTTCGAGTCACCGGGCGGCTTCTTTTTCGTTACATCGAGAAGCTTCTCGTTGCGTTCGATCTGTTCACGGCGCTTCTGTTCTTCCTTCTCCTGTAAGCATAGACATAGAACCTTCGAGATTCGTCACCTTCCTCGGACTCCCTGTATATGGAACTTCGCGGACACTGCCGCTCAACGCTTGAGGGGAATCGGAAGAGCCTACCTTCAACTTTTCGCGGTTTTCTTCGATTTTCCTTTCGCTTTCCTCAATGAGTCTCCTCCGAGCTTCTTGCATATTCCTCCGCCGGATGTCATCGTCGGAAATTGCTTGAGCGGTAGCGGAATTGTTCCCGACACTCCCGGATGAAGGAGCCAGAGCATTTTGGAATTTCCGGTATATATACACTGCGATTGCGACCGCTAGAATCGCGAGCCACTCTTTCGGGCCGAGGAGACCCGTTTGTTCGAACTCTTCGGCCATCTGGCGAATATTCCTCACGGTGTTCCCATATCAGCGAGTGATACGAGCACTACAACTCATACGAGGAAACTCGTTCCAATGGAGCAGAATGGACCAGCTGACGATTCACGATGACGACGGATTTTTTTCAAGCGCTCCGGGGATGAGAATGTACACAAAATATTCCGCTAAATCGGCGGGGAGCCCTCGAGGGACTTCAGCCCCGTAATCATTCACGTTCCGATCCGCTCTCACAGTCGAACGTTACTCTCGCTGAAATCAGGCGGATCGATGGAGCATGAGGGACACCCCGGATGAGAGCTAGATTCGGGCCTGATTCCCGCATATAACAAACAGTTAAGTTTACTGCTCTCCGCCTGATGGGGAGGTCGCCGCCGCCATGTTTCGCATGCTTTATTTTGGTTTCTGAGCGGAGAGCGCCTCGCTGTTACGGCGCCACGATGGTCATGCGCTCGCTGTTAGTTGTGCTATTGAGAAAGGCTACGGATGCTCTGCCTGCATTATTGCTCGTCTTCGCCGTAGTTTCTTCTCTAGCTTCCACCACGTTCAGAGTGGAGATTGATTTCTAGCCGGACTAGAATCGTTGCGACGATGGGTCGTTTGAAAAGCAGTTCGAAAAATTCGGCCGGTGGGGGTGCTATGAAGAAGAGCACGACTGGCAGCGGCTCTACTGTCACCAACAGTCAGCAGTTGACATTCAATACCGGTCTGGGCCAGCATATATTGAAAAATCCTCTTGTCATTCAGTCAATGGTCGAGAAAGCAGCTGTGCGTAGTACGGACGTGGTTCTCGAAATCGGTCCAGGAACAGGTAAGGCTACGATAACGATGAGTCACTCGATTCACCCCCCGTATGATTACTGCTCGAAACTTGCATCATAGTTGTCTTGAATGGGTTCGAAAAGTTCAGTCTTGGAATTTTCACAGGAAACATGACCGTACGACTCCTGGAGAAAGCGAAGAAAGTGGTAGCTTTTGAAGTCGACCCCCGAATGGTCGCCGAACTACAGAAGCGTGTGCAATGCACACCATTGCAGCAGAAACTGCAGATTATCGTCGGGGATGTCATAAGGAATGATTTGCCCTTCTTCGATCTATGCGTGGCGAATATGCCTTACCAGATATCTTCACCCTTCGTTTTCAAGCTCCTTCTCCATCGACCCTTCTTCCGTTGTGCAATCTTGATGTTCCAGAAGGAATTCGCTCAGCGCCTTGTCGCGAAGCCCGGTGATAAATTCTACTCTAGGTGAGCTCCCGGTCAGGATTTATATGTTCGGCGGAGATCGCACGCAGAGCCTGCGAGAAAGCTCCGGGGTGCTGTTCTAAAGATTTTCGCTCAACCGTAACGTCGACTGTCATTCTCCAGACTATCCGTCAACACTCAGCTCCTGGCTCGAGTAGACATCATAATGAAGGTGGGCAAGAATAATTTCCGACCGCCGCCCAAAGTCGAATCAGCAGTGATCCGACTCGAGCCTAGGAATCCCCCTCCTAATATCGATTACACGTCTTGGGACGGCCTACTCCGGGTGTGTTTCGTTCGGAAGAACAAAACTTTGGCGGCAGAATTCACGCAGGGCTCAGTTCTGCAAATGCTCGAGAAAAACTACCGGAGTTTGGCCTCGGTGAAGAATCGCAGTCTCCCGGCAAGCTTTGACATGAAACAACTCGTCAAGGATTGTCTCGGAGAATACGCGGAAAAACGAGCTCGTCAGTTGGATGTCGATGATTTTCTACAGTTGCTCTTGAATTTCACCTCGAAGGGTGTCATGTTCAATGTTACTTAATTAATATGTTTTGTACATACGCAATGTTTGACGAATAAATCGACACGAGTTGGACGTGAGAAACGAACGCGAGCATTAATAATTTTTGAAGTCCATTGTATCTTTATTTTTGGAAAATACTCGAGGCGTCGTTTCATGTCGAACGATTACTTATTGAGCGCCTCACCCGTGATTCCATCGGATCATCATGATAACAGGAAGACTTTCTTCTTGAACAACGTTACCTCATATCCATACGGAGGGGAAGATGAAGGAATCCATGGCACCTCATTCTAGCTTCAGAGCAAGTCGTTGGAAAGTATACCGCGAAGAGCCGTTCCATGGGTTTGGAAAGAGCCCGTGCCTACTTGAACTTTTGTTCCTCCCACGACGCAGGATGCGTATCGCGGGGTTGGAAGTCACCCGGCGGTCCAGCTCCGGCTCCAATGACAAGAGCCGTCGATGATGATCGCTCAATGCCGGAATCGACGGGGATACAGTAGAACCTTGCTTGTGTCATTTCATTAATGCTTGAAGCTTCGTACAGAATTTTTCTTATCACGAAACAAGCTCGCTCATATCAACTTCGCAAAGATTCACCCCGACGATAGACATCCTAATTTTAAGAATCGTCAATAAAATCAACATTGAAACCACCGAGGATCCATGAAGAAGCATTAAAAGCTTGATCGATGACAGAGTTCTCCCTCGAAAAAATTGCCACAATGGAGCTGAATTTCTTAAGAGCTTGTACAACCGAGGCTCCACTGTGATCTTGGAAACTCCTCGGTTCACTTCGGATGAGTTTCCTTTTCATCAGAGCCGAATTCTCGGTCTCCGCTCAAGAAAATATGTTGTGTTTCGCCACGAAATCCATGAATGGCATATCAGCCGGACAAACGAGAAAATCACGATTGTGGTTTGCGATAACGCGTATCAGGAGATCTCTGTCCTCTTTTTGTTCGGCTGTGAGCCCCGAGGGACTGGAAGAGAAGAGATCATCAGAGCGAAGTTCTCATATTGCAGGCATCTGTGATATCATGCAAGAATAGTAGAAGGCGGTGTGTCTCCGCGGGAACCTCGGAACCGGCGATAGTGGCCGGAGGCATCCTCTGTCGATCTCTCTCCTTACCTTGCGTTTTGCGTGGCCTTCTGCACCGACCGGACTCGATGCTCGTTCGTGCCAAAATGCTGGTACAGATCGGCAGACTTCTCGAATGTGACATTACAGAGAGGGCAGCTCGACTCCGCAGTAGATTGGGTCTGTTGGAATTCGAATCGACTCAGCCCAAGGAAATTTCATCTCTCTTCATTCGCGCGTCCCGCAGCTTGGGCTGACCACCTTACTTATTACTTTATGACTAATAAGGAGTAGAAGGGGACAAGGGCTTGCGATATCCGAAGTGGAACACTCACCGAGATACTGCTCGACGGCACGGATACCGACTCTCTCATTTTCTTGAGATGTCTCTCCGATATTATGTGTTGATTGTACGGAACTTGTCCAGCGAACTTTTTCCCACAAGGTTCACAATGGAGAAAGTTCACATCCTTCGGAATCGAAATACTGGCATTAGGTTGGGGGGGTATTCAAAAGGAGAGGGGATAATAAGCTATGAATCGAAATTTCTCCCCTGACGTGTCGGAAGATTCAGGGGCATGCCATATCATCGTTCACTGAGACGAAAGACACATTTCACCAATGATCAACGGGTGATATCGGAGAACAAAAGCGGATACTAAAATCGGAGTCCCGACACAATAGCTATACTTCAATTTTTTTCCCTTGTCCTCCCTGTTGCAATTATCCACCTCACGGGATTTCCGAAAGGAAGCTTTGTTGAATTCTACAAGCTGAGGTAGAGGATGACTCACTTGTGCGCTTTGACTGACCAGGCTCGGAGACTCCAGAGCACGAAGTTTTTTCAAATGCTTCTCAGACGCGAGATGTTGTTGATAGGGTATGACGCCGTCGAACCTTTTGTCACAGGGCTCACATCTGAGTTGGGAATTCTGCGAGGGGAGCTAATGTTATCGATCGGGAGCGGAGAGATGCCGGGAAGTTCCAGAGACAGAGCCCCGTCGGGCCCCGAACGAAAAACGCACTCACCATTATTTCGAAATTTGCGCGGCGACGATGCCGTAGTGTCTACGATGGTGATGTTCACGCGGATCCCTGCCCACTTTCGGAGTCCTTACACCCGTGTGTCGGACCATCAGCTGTCTTCGTGCTGTCTACCGAGTCTATCTGTCGAGACCGGGACGGAGCGCTCTTCGTGATTTTGTTTCCCACAGGAGCGAATGCGTAGCAGACGAATGCGAGGCACCGAAGAGGAAGTTTTCGAGAGGAGGCAAGCATAGCGCGAACTGACTGAGACGAGCCGCCAACATTCGAAATTCCGACAACGGCAGCGACGGGTCAGACTGCGTCGCGAGTCGCGACGCTGCGACTTGAGGGTGAGCCCCTCCTGGGAACAGGGCATCTCGAGTGACGGGCGCTCACTGAGTGGCTCTCCACCGCTTTCTGCGTGGGGATTACGGAAGTAGACGACCCACTTACTGTCAGGCTCTCTAAAAGCGACAAGGAGCGCTCTGCAGCCTCAACTTTGAGTATGGCTCTCCGAAGTTGAGATCGTGAGATCATGTGATCCTTTCACATGACACGACTTGTAAGGCGAAGCTTCGGCGACGGATTGGCTCGTCCGTAGACTACATGCGAAATAAATATCAATTCTGTGGGTGAGGGTCGGCCCCCAGCTCGGAAGTCCGATCGTAGATGCAGGTGGAGCGTGAAAGCGCTTGGAGGGCGATAATCGAGGCATTATGCAACGTTCCCTCGATCTGCTCTTAAGAATAGCTCTCATCAAGCATGCTGTGTCGCTCGTTCTGCAGACCACAGGGTTGGCAAAGCCCTCGCCGAGAAACGTATGATCAGACAAGCCAAGGCCTCGGAAAGATCGAAGCAGCCGACCAAAGCTCCTCATCGTCGGGTATTCCGAGGGTATGGCTCAATGCTGAGGTCTGCTTGGACATATCCCACGGAGAGTCTTAGATTCGGAGCGTGAACGAGGCGCACATATGTGTGCCTCCATAGATTTCGCGCCGGCAGAACTCTGTCGTTACCCCGACGACGGTGAATAACAAAAGTCAGGAAATCGGCTGGTGATCATCAACCGAATGTCCCCTCCAATCCGGCATGGATCACATACCGGATCTCAGTGAAATCGAGAACGAGTCGCTCGCCCATCAAGTCGCAGATGCCCCACTTGTGCCTGTTTCGCGAATAATGAAACAGAGCCTCGACTCGAACGGAGGTCTCGAGAAGAAAATAAGTGCCGCCGTCGGCTCTCACATCGACACGAACTTGTTGACACGAATCCTGGAAACAGTTTCGGATCTCAACGAAGTCGACAGACCGTGGAACTATCAAAGCTTGCATCAGTTCATCAAGACCGGCCTGAAAGCGGACTGAGGTTGTCCGAGTGTGCGGCGTCTCTCGTGTTCAGGGAGAGAATCTGAACGACGATTCGAAATCTTGAAGGCTGTGTATGGATTGTCGATCACTGGCGATAGTCGTCACCACGAATCATCCAATTCTTCAGCGTCTCCGAGGGTTCTGGCGGGATTTCCCGTCTTCTATTGGTAGAGTATGGCAGGGAATCGACGGCTCTGCAACATTGGCCGCCGTAGACCAGAGGTCCTCGACCGGTTGCAAGTGAGGGGACTTCCAGGTGTGCCCGGGAAGTTTTTGGAGTGTACGTCCATAGCTATCCGAGCTTGCGAGGATAATCTCAGCCACGGGAGAGAGCTGATAGGATGCTGGGAATCGAAACCAACGTCGGCGTCGTAGTGTAGGGAAACGAGTCTAATCCGAGTTCAGTAATCTCCTCGAGCTCGAGGCTCTGACATGCGCCATGCCGAACTGCACCTATCAGAGTACTCTGTGTGAGGTTTCACTTAATAAAGTACAATTTTTCGCCGGTGAATAGTACCTATTGCATGTCTCGCTTTGCCGGCTGTCGGTTTCTGGAGTGCACGGATTTTTTCGACAGCTCTAAGGCTTGCACGGGCAGGGAAAAGTTGAGAATCACGACCGTAAACCGTGAGAGGATGATCTGGCTGGGATGGTCGAACCAGGAATATCTGAGCGGGAACCGAGCCGCAATTCCTGGAATAATGCCGTACTCTCGATATTATTCGGGTGAGACCATTTCCCGCCGATTCCTGTCTTGCATCGATGGTCTCCCGGCGAGTTTCTGAATTCCCCGGATCGCTGCCGGGGAGGATCGATCCTCCTCGGAGCTTCACTCCGCCGCCCATTCCCTCTCGAAAAAACTCACTCTCGAGAATCGTTCGGCTTCGAACGCTGGAGTCCAGGGAGACTCCTTTCACTCTTCCAGCTGCGGAGAAAGGGTCTCCAAGTTTCCAATGCCTGACTTGATTCTAGGTCAATTGATCTATTGATTCGTGATTATTGTTTATCATCATGAATCACTCGGAGAATTCGAGTCAATCGGACCCTCGTCTCTGGAGCTCGGAAATCGGCGATATTCTCTTCTCGAATGGGGCTTTCGTTGGTGAACCTCGTGATCGATCTCGGCGAGGCGTAGCGACGCAGGCTCAATCATTTATGGCAGTCCCTTTCAACTCCCTGGCAGCGATAGGCTCGTATATCCGGACTGCCGAATATTCGCCGTCATGGCAATGGTTCGGCAGAGCCACTCTACGGGCGAAGCATATAATTTTTGTCTGATGTGATCTGTCTGATCCGCTCTTGCGCGGTCTTCCATAGAGAGAGTCCGCTGGCGGGAGCAAAAATCCTCTCGCTTGGCTCGGTTCTAGAAGAGTACTCGAATTCCAGTATCCAATTCCTTCGGACGATGGTCAACAGATTCAGGTATAATCAGAGTTGCGATATGAAAGGACATGTTTTCCCCGAAAAAAAGACAATGTCCGCGTGGGAATCGGGTCGACGGCGAGCGGACATCGAAAGCGGACTTCTTCTAGGAAACATCAGAGGAGCGGACAAAGAAGGACGTGTTCTCTCACATCGCAACTCGTATGATCCTGCGAAAGGCCTCATCAGCGGCTCGAGCCCCTTTAGCCCATCCCCGAACTACCCAGCCAAGCTCCACTGATGGGACACAGTATTTTCTCATCTTCCTTTTCGTCTTACGCGACGACTGACTTCTCATGTGCCGTTGGTCTTCGGCTGGAATCACGTATCTCCTTGAACTCGACTCGTAGACTGCCTGAAGAGTATGAGACAGAATACGGAGTCGAGGCTATTCCTTTCACATGATTGTCAACTCATGACTCCAGCACCAAAAGGAATGAAAGTCTGCCATTGTGTGCCGGAACCCGTTCATGCCGACGCCTCTAAATCGATTCGTCGGACCATTCATTCCTCTGTGATCGTTGATCAAAATGCATAGGGATCGAAGTCACTGCAGCGACTCTCGGTAAGAGTGAGAACTTCGACTGTGCGATCTTCTGTCGTGATGGCAGGCGTCGTAGCTGAGCCTCGTCGGTCCAGTGCTCAGATATCTCCGCCGGCCTTCGACCACCGACTGTCCTTGCCTGCTCCAGTGGGTGAGAAAGATGCCAGAAGTCGAGTCTTTGGACATCAGCCCAATCACACTCAGTAAGCCTCAAACTGTCTTGAGCTTCGAGTTTCGAGCGACCGCTCAAAGTTCTTCTCGGCATGCTGAAAGTGTTTCGTTTGACAGTTGTCCTCTTCGCGAGCCTGCTACACGTGACGGCCTCTGACGGCGACTTCGACCGGGCCTTACAGAGATTGGTGGTCGACATTTTTTCAGAATTCTCGAGCACTGGGGCCCCACTCCTGTTCGATTTGAATTGCGTCTTGGAACCGGAATTCATCCGCTCTCTAATCGCTTCACTGGTCTCTCTGGGTCTTGAGGAACCCAAGGAGTTAGGTGCGTCGCAAGGTCTTTTCCCTGATGATTACGTGGACGGAATGGCTTCCTACGCGAAAGCATTCCTATCCAGATCTGATGAGGACCGTTTCCACCTTGGCCTCTGCTGCAACGCGAAACCGGCGCTCAATGAGCGGGTCCGGGCATTATTCACGAATAAATTGATACCCAGCCACAGCTTCGCGTTCGTTTGGATCGGTCTCAAAGAGAGTTTCCTGTCGTTTCTGAGAACATTCCAGCGGATGCCCGCGTCGTTTACGCAGATCTACGCTCAATGGAATAGACGGAGCCTAGAGCTCGAACTCTACACTAGCGATCACGGCATCGAGAAACGGTACAACCATTTTCTAAACTTTTTCGTGGATGGATTCGGATATCCCACCCGTGTCAAGCTCGGACGCCTAAAGTTCGGGCGGAGATCCATGCGAGAGCTCCGTATTGAGAGTTTCGACGTATACGATGTTGCCACGTCTAGTTCTCAACAATGGATGACATCTATTAGACTTTGTGATCCACAGAATTCAAATTATTCCGCTGATCTCATATTTTGGCATTCGAATCCTAGAGTGGCCTCTTCAATCGCGAACAAGATCCGATTCTCATCGTCCTATAACTACGAAGCTTGGGCACGAATACCATCGCTCAGCAAAAATAGACAGGTGGCTCTCTCAATTTTCCAACCTGATATCTGGCTCCCCATGATCTCGATTGCTCTGATAGCAGCGATAACCTTGCGATTCGCGAAAGAAGATCCTGGGATCATGTTCTTCCGCCTGTTGCTCGCGGCACTCAACCCAGTGAGTTTTCCCACCCGAACAAAGACCAAACAGTTCTTCCTAGTCGTAGGAGTTTGGATCCTCTTGCTTCAAGTCATCAAGTCTGCCTTCCAAGGGAATTTTTTGGCATCAATGCGAGCCCTGCCAGAGGGCATCCCGAGATCGATACGAAGATGCGCGATAGGGAACATCGAGGCTACGTCGAATGAGACGGTGGGTTACACGGTCTCTGACGATATGAGAACATCTCTTACCGAAAATCTCGGTATCATTCTGCGCGGCGATATCTTCTGTAAAAATGTGAATGGCTTCGGACCGCTCCAAGAATTCCTTTTGAGAGATATCCGGATGTATTCCCTGGAATCGGCCTATGAGACAGTTCCCGCCACGATCCTACAGCTGATCGGGACGGTTATTGACGATCAGAAAATGATACCGTGCTCTCTCCTGGATCCACAGGGACTGTCGTTTTTCCGGCTCGCTCAGCTGTTCCTGTCGCGTTACCTGCTGCATCGGAGGTATCTGATTCAGCGGTGGAGCGTCAAATCGAACGAGTTCTTCAAGATGCTGAATAAGACATTG